GGGGGGCGACCACCCCTCCAGTCACACATGCCGCCCCACGGCGCCGCTGCAGCGCCAACCGACATGTGGTGCTGAGCAGGGGACTGGTGCGAGTGAGGTTGGAGTAGGTCCGTATCTACACACTCACAAACGCTCTGTTTTTAAAAGTTCTACATTTACGACTATTAAAACAGAAGAAACGTTTTCGTCCGGTGATCTTTCTCACTTTGCGAAACAAAGGCGTTCCATCATGGCTGGAGGTTGGAGGTCGGACCGGCTTGAGCGGCTGGTATGCTGCTGGTTGGTTGGTACCACTCGTCAAGCGGGTGGGGGCGCCTGGAGGACGGACCCGCGCGGCCCGCCGGCCAGCCGTGGCGGCCGGGTGGCCTACCCGCTCCATGGCAGGCGGTCGCGGCCTGGTGCCTGAGCCTGGACGCCACCTAGCAGACTGTCGTGCCTGGTTTAGTTGATCCACACAGGCAAAAAAACAAATTTCGGTTTACTAGACGGCTAAAAAATGAGCTCTGGTGCTAAAAAAAAAAATGGCAGAGGTTTGATTTTTTTTTCTGCGTGTATAGTGTGGCTCCGCGCGTCCGTGCCGTGCCTACGCACGCGTGCTCGCACAGTGAGCGCACTGGAAACGCAAGGGTGTGAGTGTCGAGCACTTGCAGGTGAGTGAATGCTCCTTCGTGCGCTTCAGGGAGTAAATGTGTGAATTTTCCTTTGAAAATCACACATTTTTACCTTCATCTGAAAGTTATACGGATTTCTGTCAAAATGCACAGCTAACGCCTTTTTTTACAACGCCAATTTGAACAAATCTCTTCATACTGTGGCGTATTTTTTTTAATGCGTAAGCTGTGCATGCTGGTTGACATAAATACGTAAGCTGCTATTATTTTTTTGATTTTTTTTTTAAATGTTCATTTAAGTTTTCCGTGTGCACCGCGCTGGATCACCTTTACCAAACCAAATGCCGCGCCCAACCGGCGCCTCCTCGGCCGCGCTCTTTTATGCTAATTACATCGCTAGGTCTGATTGGCTTTGGCCATCACCTGGCCGCTCCAAGTAGAGAGAGACAGAGA